TGGTCCCTTCCAACCTAAACCATTCTATGATGGCAAGGCATAGAGACATGCTAGAATAAGAGACAGTGAGTAACCAAATTTTTTTTTCCCTTGCAAAATTAAGCAAATAATGCTTTGTAAAGCTCCTGTCACTTATATAACTTTTGCAAAATCATATGTTTACTTTAAGTTTTAGGTGCTTTTGTTTTATTCAGGATTAGTAATAAAGCGGGTTTTTCTCAGTAAGTAATTTTTATTCTTCCTGTTTTAAATTTTTCATGTAGTGAAATCAGGTGAATGTTCTTATATGTGCTTAATGAGACCGCCTCACTGAAATCAAGCTCTATAAATCTATATGTGGGTGTTCAGACTAATGTACAGCTGTGTGTATGAAATTTTTTTATTTTATTTTACATGTAGGGATTTTACTATTATGAAAATACAGCCAAGTTCTTAAAGCAGTAGCAGTACAGCTAGTCATAAATTTATGGTGCTGCTAGTCTCTTATCTTTTAAGAACACATAATACCACCCCAATCCCATCCAAGAAAAAGAAAAAGAGGGATTTTACATAATGTATCCTATTCTTACAAGTCTTTTTATTGTTATTTAGTTATATTCATATCTGATAATGAAAGTTTCAATCCATCTTTGTGGGAGGAACAGAGGAAAAAGCGTGCTCAGGTGGCGTTTGAGTGTGATGAAGACAAAGATGAGAGAGAGGCGCCACCTCAGGCTAGTACTGAATTTATTTTTAATACTTGAGGCTTCACTCCCTCTTTTCCTTCCCTTACCCCAAATCCCATCCTTTTCCTTACTCTGACTGTATATTGCACTCTGCTTAAGAAATCAAGTCTTCAGTTGTTAGTTTAAGAGTATCTAACAGGATGAAACACTTTCCGCCCCCCCCCATCAGTCATTTAAAGTAGAGCACAAGGAGAAAAGTCTCAGCTAATATAGGGCATAACTAGGAGACTACTAGACTGATGGTTCTGTGGGGAAGAATAGTGGGGAAACAGTAAATAATTCTGATTTTTCTTAAGTAAATTACAATTGTAATAATTTTTCCTGTTTGCAATAATGGACAATTTTTTATTAAAAAGTGTTTTGTAATCTTGCTGGGTTTTATAAGCTTAAGTCTGAGTTAATCAAGGTAGACTTGAACAGCAAAGTGGAGATCCTGGATTGCTCTGCTGAGTGTTTTGTCCTATTTTATTGTCTGTTTAAAAATGGATGTTTTAATTATAGCAATTAAGTGAATTCAGAACATTATTGCTTTCTGTAACACAGGAAGCCAACCTGAAAAGATATCCAACTCCATATCCTGATGAACTGAAGAATATGGTTAAAACAGTCCAGACAATTGTACATAGGCTAAAGGATGAAGAATCTACTGAAGATATTGCCAAGGAGTCAAAACAAGAAGTCCAGACAGTTTCTGTAGAAGATGTTGGGGTAAAGTTTAGATATAATATTCTCTTCTGACTTCACAAGAACTTCTAAATATCTAGAATGTCATTGATCCCTTTTAATTCTCTTCTTCTCAACACTAATGCTTTAGCAGAAAAAAAATGTCAAAGAACGGAATTTACCTCTTCACCCTCTAGAAAGTTTGTAATAAATTTCTGTTTTGCAGTAGCAATTTTCCTCTGACACTAAGAACAAGATAAGTGACTTGTTTCTCAGGCAAATACACACTATGGATGTGTTAGGAAGCTGTCTTTATTTTCTGGAGGATGGCATCTTTGTCATCATCTGATCCTCCTTTATCCGCCAGACTTCCCAGTGAAAATCAGGATAATCTCTATGGAACTTGCCGTTGCCCTTGTGACTGAAGGTTTTGCATGATAAGTTGGGAAGGCAATTGTAGCAAGTTGTCACAGGAATTGCTAACAGGTTGATGTAGCATGATAGGACTACTGTTTGGTGCTGACATGTCTCATTGTAGATATTCTTGGCCTTTTTATATTATTAATGGTACAAATTGACCTCAATAAGGAGGAGAGTCAAACTAATTGGTAAAGGGTAGGGACTGTACTTCAGTAATCTGCAGAGATTTCTCTCTACCTGGTGCAATTCATTCTTTATAATTTCAAAGCTCAGGTTTTCCGTTCCATAGTTTCCCAAAATATATAATGTTAACTAACTATCATATTTTACTGAAAATCTTTCAGGATGTTTTTTCTGCTAATGTTCTTAATCCTGTAGACTTCAGAAATTACTTCAATAAAGAACAAGGCAGATGAGAGAAAGCAATATTCTCAGGAAGCTCTGTGCAGAAGCCTACTGAACCAGAAGCTGAGCACAGCACTGCAAATTCACAGATGACTGCACTTGTTAAAACCTTGCAGAACACAAAAACAGTTGTCATCCATGAAGATATGTTTGAGGTATGGCATTGCAATGAGCATCATAGCAGTTAAAGAATTGTATTGGTAGTTGAATTTTTTACTCTGAGAGATGAAAATTTATGTTAACAATAGAAAATTGCCATCCATAAGTGCTGTAAGTACAGAAGGTTTGTAATGCAATATTTTCCTCACTTCAGACTATATTAAGTAAAAGCTAAAATAGCTAATAAAAAGTTCATAATGAAAGATGTATACATTTCAAGAAAAATAAAGAAAACACAATTAAAAGTTGACCTAAGTATCAAACTGTAAAAAGACTCATACTTAGGATTTTCCAGATTTTACTTGATTATTCAGTAGATAATTGATTATAGCTGTCACTGAAATGTCAGTATATCTGATTAGTGGGAGCAATCTAAAACTTATATATCTAAATGACTGTTCCCATTCATTTGGAATGAAAAGTAAAAGATGGGTTTAAGAAAATGTATTCCTCTGCATTTATGAACTGTCATGAATATGACTGAAATTGTGTCCAGTCCTTACAAAATGTCAGAGATTTTTAACTCCTGAACTCTTTGTACATCTTTGTGACAAACACCATATATTCATTTTTTTAATTTAGAATGTGTTTCAGACTTATGACAAATTTTGGAACTTGTTACTTCATCAGTTACCAATCACAACCTGTAAAATGTTTTTTTCATAATTTCACGAACAGATTATTTTTGTCTGTGTTGTGTAAGCAGTAGAACATGTGTGTATCATGCCTATTTTCCCACTAGTGTGTTCCTGCTTCTATATCCTTTCTGAAAATATTGCATTTGACATTTTTCTTTAGTTTAAATAGATAATTTTTGAAAATCATATTAGTTGTCTAACGATAGTGACAGCAATTCTTTGAAGCTAGCCAATAAGTAAATGAGGCAACAGTGCATAGTCGATCAAGAATACTGAATTCCTTATTTCTATGCAATAACCTGCTGGTAACTCTGTAGCAGTTGAATCCAGATATCTAAACTTTGCATGCATATAAGTTTGTGGTGTTTTTTTTTTATTTCAAAATTTATTACACTTCTTGTATGTTACACCCAAGGGGAAAGGCAACGTTGTAGAGGCAGTGAAGAGGTGGTTTGTTCTGATTGCAGAAAAACGGGTAGATTTTTTTAATGAAGACTGTCATACATTGTTTTCTTACATCTCAACAAGTTTGTCCTTCCTTCAGTCCAAAGAACTGGCCAGGTAGTTAGTATCATGGGAAAGGTGGTTCTTCAGTAGGTTCTACACATTAAATGTTCTGAAATTTGTAAGAAAAAGTGAACATTTTTTGCAATCTGTGACACAGATTTTTGTAGCATTTGAAAGAGGAAGAATACTTACAAGAAAGAAGTTTCTACTTCAGAGAAAGAAGTCTTTTTCCCTTCAAAATATTACTGAAAACAATTGGGTTTTGAAGATGATAAGGATATAGACATTGCAGTAGGATACTGAATCACTCACATGGCTGGTCTTGCAGCAGCGCGGTCAGTTAACCTCTTTCATAAGTGCACTGAGCTCCATCTCATAGTTAGGATCTAGTGATTTCTAGCTGGAATGAATTCAGCGTTGCTTTATTCCTCTACCATTGTTATTCTTGAAGATAAATAACTTCTGTTCCTTTTGGAATTTACCCCCAATGTAAACTTTAAGGTATCAACCCAAGCTACACTTGCTAGAATAGGCAATCCAAAGTCATTCAGTCTTTTCTCACAGCATAGCTCTCCATTCATAAGATTATCTTGGTAATGCTACTTCATAGCTGTTTCAGTTTGAGCTCTTTTCTGCAAAACCATTACTCAGCTAGTCAGTCTGGAGTGTTCAATATTTTAAAATGCATGGCATAATAAAGATGGTTTTTCTTTAGCAGGAGTCAGAAGAACTCTCCCCTGATGAAGAGATGAAAATGGCAGAAATGCAACCACCGCTGATAGAAATCTCCATAAATCTACCAGAAGTGGTAGCTCTTAGCAATAACAAAAAAGGTTAGATACTATAAAAAAAATAGTGGTGTGCGATTCTGATAATTTCATTACTCAAAATGGCTAGTTTTTTCCAATTGAATTATGTGAAAGTAGATTTTTGTGCTTTAAGATAGATGATCAATTCTCTAGTTAAGTAATGAAAGCAGAAAAAAATCTGAATTATCGTGTACTTGAATGTGTGGTAGAGAAAGCTGTGTTCACATCCTAATTTGCTTGATTCTTGTCATTAGTTTTAAAAGCAGAGGGGGAAAAGAGATGCTCGTGTTTTGGGGGACCATTAGCTTCAACACACTCTTGATATGTTTAAGAAAAGGATTACAGAAAGTGGTATTTACCTTGGAAACACTCCATATTCCCCCACCCCCCCTCTCCCAATTTTCTGGTCTATTGTTGCTTTTGGCAGCAATATCACTTGTTTCAATTTCTCAGAGAAGCTGTGCTCTCTTCCTAAGGTTCAAGAATATACTTCTCTTGTGGCAATTCCTTCTCCAGAGTCACTTTACACTTTTCTTCTTTCCTCTCACAGGAAAATTCAGAATGTTGTTTTTGTTAACTAAGTTTTATATTCTCTGAAAGATCATTTCAGACTGGGTAACCATTTCCTTAAGAGTAAAGAATGACCTAGGATTCAGAGAAAACAAAATTTAACAGTTGAAGAGAAATTTGTATTTTGTTTCATATGATATCCTACTTCAGTACTTTCCAGGACAACAGGCTTTTCTGACCACTGCATGTAAAAGGGTAAGATTTAGTGAGGATGAAGGAAAACCATGTAGAGGTAGTAAGAAAAGTCTGCTGAGGTTCACATGCAGGCCAAAAGACTGATGTTTATCAATGCCATATGTGGGATTTTATGCCTGGCTAAAGTACTAATTCAAAACTTCTTTCTTGTCTCTGGAGATAGAAATTAGTTTCACAAAATTTATTCTTTTGGCACCTGTAACTGTGTCTTGAAGTAAAAATTGAAATGTATCAGTTTGTACACTTATGTTTGCCCGTGTCAAAATCATGGCTGGCTTGAAATCCCACAGATAAATGAGTTTTGTATGGATATAGGATGTATGTATGCATGTGTTATGCAAGAATCAATGTGCACAGGTGTAAATGATTTTGAAAATGTTGTCCTAAGTGATCTGTAAAGCATGGGAACACATTGGTTCCAAGTCTGCAGAAGAACATTTTTCTTTCACTTTTTTTACATTTATAAAACTATATAGACCTCATCCAGTGATCTAGGTCCTTCCAGACTGTTTGGTCTAATAAATGGCTATTTAACAACAACAGAATGTTCAAAAGCAGGAACTGTGTACACTTTCAAAATCCTGCATGTGAAGCAGTATACTTTCTATTCATAAGGGCCAATAGACTCATGCAATTAAAATGTTTGGAACCATTGCAGAAACAGAAATATGATTCGATAGATATATTTGGGAAATATTACATAATGTAGTGCATTAGCTTATGCCAAGAAACTTGGAATAAAGCAACAAGTTACATTTCTTTAACAGGTGAGGGCTGTTTACATTGAGACAAATATTTAAAAAATAAGAACTACTGCCAACATTCTTTTGTAAGTTTATACAAAGTTTGCAAAGGTGTGTTAGCTTATATGTTATTTTCCAGTAATAAGTATTACTGAAGAACAAGATACAACTTCTAAACTCTGTAACATACACACATTACAGACATCTGTTTAATAGCCATTTAATTAGATTGGCAAATTTTTATTTCAGATTATTCAGAAGATGCCAATTCCTTATCAGATGAAGCTACCTACAATAGGAATCAAAATAACTGCAACTGTTACTCTCCTTCTCTAATGTCTGATTCTGTTTCCTTAAATACTGATAGTAACCAAGATATTTTTCTCTGTTCTCCAGACAAAGAAATACATGCTGCTGTTTTATCCAAGATCAGGTTTGTAAAATACTGTATACCACTGAGCAAATATAATGGAAAGATATTACTTAATCTTTCACATTACATGTCCATTCCTTTAATTCATTAATAATTCCTTTATCATTCATGAAATAATTTAAATTTTAATTTTAAAAATAATGTTAAATAATGGAATAGTTATCAACTATTATTATTATTGTTAAACAAACAAATAAAAACAAAGCACAAACCCAAAACCAACAAAAAAAGGAGGACAATAAAATTCAGAGGCCAATTTTAGTATATAAGACATGATTCCCATCTGTTCTATTAATACAGTATAATAATTTCATCCTTAATAATTTGTTATCCCTGCAAAATACTTTCAGTACACCATTTTAAAAGCTCTGTGTTTTTATGTGTATAATGTTGAAGATAATTTGATTACTAAATTATAAAAAGCATTTAGAAACTTATAAGGAATGGATTTACAGGTTGCTTCTATTTTTGTGGTTCTAGTTAAAAGGTACTCTTTTTTTTTAATTTGCCAATAGAAACAAGAATTTTATCCAAAATTGTCATGGAACTTGCAAGTATTTGATAAAAAAAAAATTGAGTTATTGTCACTTTGTAGTTTTTGACACCTTTAAACTGTCTTTAATAATTCCTGTTGAATTTAATTAAAATTCTGAAATGATCACATAATAGCAAGAGTTGTCAAAATGAGCCCTCTCTGTATAATATATTTCTGTAATGATAAGATAGCAAATCATAAATTTGGTTTTATATTGGTCTTTGTCCTGTATTGTGTGTACAGAATGGCTGTGTTGCATATTAATGATTAATTTTTCTAAAACAGTTCTTAAAGGAATATTTTGGTTCCTTTTGGAATTTCTTTTAAGAGCCATCTTTTTTTCCAGGCAAGAAGATGAAAATTTGAATAATGAAAATGGAGGTGACTTGAGCATTACAATAGAAGAAAAAATAAATGTGCAAGAGAAGGTTACAAATTTGTCTGAATACAAATTAAGCATTGAAGAAAGATTAGGAAAAGGTGTCGATCTAAGCACTCCTATGGAGGAGTCTCACAAATCAGACCAAATAAACATGAATATCAATAAATTAGTTAGTGAAGAGGCAGTACCAGTTCCTGCCGAACGGTTACAAACACAGAAAATGGTTTCACTAAAGGGCTTTTTGAATAACAATATGAAAGAAAGCAAGTACTTGGAAAATGGAAATAATCATCCTATAAATAAAGTAAATGGATGTCTTGAGGAAGCAGGACAGTCTCCCAGTATAGATGAACTAATGAGAAGCACTACAGTAGATGGTGATTCTTCTGCTGAGCTGTCTGTTTCAAGGAGCACTGAAGATTTGTCCCCATGGAGAAGTAGTCCTGTGACAAAATCTCACAGCATCACCAGTATGGACGCTGATCTGAAAATCTATGATTTTGTCAATGAGAATGCATCTCAACAGCCAAACTCAATGGTAAAATCAGCATCTGGTAATGCAGATGTAAAAAACATAGTCCGAAGTAAATCCGCTACTCTTTTGTATGATCAGCCTTTGCAGGTTTTTTCTGGGCCGTCGTTGTCATCTGATTTAGTATCTTCTACAAAAACTGTGTTCAAGTTTTACTCAAATCACAATTCTGAAGGTGCTGATGTAGTGAGAGGATCAGTGACAAGTGGTGCACAGTTGTTCTGCACTCCCCAGTATAATATTCAGTACAGCAGCATTGCAACAATGAATGACACCTTGTGGCCTCAGAAACAAAACACCCAAGTAGAACAAGCCAGCTTACCTCCTTCACGTCTGCTTAGATCTGATAGCACAGAAATTCCCAGCTATATAAAGCATTCTGCCAATATGAATTTCTCCAATCATAACAATGTCCAAGCCAGTGCAGCTCAGCAACAGATGGCTGGGAGACGCATAGATCTGTGGGCTATTCCAACGAATGATAGATTGCTCCTGGGAGCAACCAGACACACTCTTCAAAGGCAGAGTAGTGTATCCTCTACAGCTTCTAAAAATGTTGGGGATACTGAACTTTCAAGGCAGACCCGGGTTCCTGAAGGGGACTGTTTAACATACAGAGACTTGCATTCAGTGAGAATAGCTCCATCAGTAATGTCTGGGCAAGAGAGACCTCTTTCTGCCAGGACATATAGCATTGATGGTCCAAATGTGCCCCGACCACAGAGTGCTCAGCCATCGGTGAATGAAATACCAGAAAGAACTATGTCAGTTAGTGACTTGAATTACTCATGGAATAGCCCTTCAAAGAGATCAAACCCAGACCACACTTTACTAGACCCTTCAGGAAAAAGTCAAGTCCCTCATGACTGGAGGGAACAGCTGCTGCGACATATTGAGGCTAAAAAGCTAGAGAAGGTAAAAATTTTTAAACTTTTGTACCTTTCTGTTATCTGGATATGGAATAAGTTAAATATTCTGTCTTTTGAAGTGCTTTTAATTACCAGTGAAAATGTACTTCTAATACTTCCTTAAAAGGGACAAACATGTTTGTGTTGAATATGTGAGAAACAGTCAAATGGTAGACTGTAAATGAACTATTTCTCCAAGGAAAAAAAAGTATCTCTGTTGTTTTTTACATCATACTTGCCAGCTTAGTCCAATTACTTTAGAATACATTAAATAATGTCCTAATGACCTGCTGGACTGTCAGGCCAGTTCTTTTAAGCCAGGTAATTTTTAATGTTGTAGCATTATATTCATATTATACTAAAATATTTCCTTACACTTCCTGATCTTTCTGTTTTGCCTTTTTCCCCTATTTCTTCACTTTAAGAACAAGGAAAAGAAAATAATTAAAATCTATTTGAAAGTATAGGTCTATAGCTTCAGTTGCTGAAGAATTCAAAAGCCATAATTAACATATATTTGCCTCCAAGCTAGTTGTCTTTTGAAGTTGGATATTTGACAGATTGTTGAACAAATATTTATTGCTGTGAGATGAGAACACTTAAAAATCTTGTTCATTTTGGGAAATCACAGTAGGTTTTGATATAACTAGAGATAATGAAAAGGATATAAGGTAATAACAAGGTGACCTGCTTAGTGGATGAGGGAAAGGCTGTGGACGTTGTCTACCTGGACTTTAGTAAGACATTTGACACTGTCTCCCACAGCATCCTCCTGGAGAAGATGTCTGGGCATGGCTTAGATAGGCATACACTGCTGGTTTAAAAACTTGCTGGACAGCTGAGCACAGAGAGTGGTAGTGAATGGAACTAAATCCAGTTGGCGAC